ACCAGTACAAGTCCAGGCTGCTCCTGGATGAAGCTCCTGGTTGCTAGTTTCTGCCTGGCTCAGCCCTGGCTGTAAAGATCATTCAGGGAGTGAACCAGTGGATGGATGATCTTGCCTTCTGTCTCTCTCTCTGTTACTCTTTCAAATAAATAAATAAATATTTTTAAAATATATACACTGAATATACACACTTTTTCATTTAAGCATCTACAGCTAAATTTGCAATGGAACAAATATTTTTCATTGAAAAGCCATATCTCTTTGCATGCCTAAATGTAACTGTCCTCACTTATCCATGGTTTCATTTTCTGCAGTTTCAGTTATTGAGTGCACTACAATTTGAAAATATAAGGCAGATAATTCCAGAAACAAATAATTCTTAAGTTTTAAATCATGTTCTATTGTAATTAGTGGGATGAAATCTTAATTCATGCTTCACTCACCCCAGCCAGGAAACGTCCCTTTGTCCAGCATATCCATGTTGCACACGCCACCTGCTTATTAGTCACTTAGTGGTATCTTGGTTATCAGATTTATTGTTTCAGTATTGCAACATTTGTGTTCAAGTAACCTTTATTTTATTTACTCAATAATGACCTCAAAGTACAAAAGTAGTATGCTGGTGAGTTCATTGCATATATTGTTATCACTGTCTTATTTTTTATTAGTTATTGCTAAACTCTTACTGTGCCTAATTTATAAATTAAACCTTCTCATAAGGATATGTGTATAGGAAAAAGCATACTACTGTATACATAGGGTTCAGTACTACCAAAAGTTTCAGGCATACATCAGCGATTAGATATGCCACAAAGGTAAGGGGAAACTACTTACCCCACTGACAAACTGCCCTCAGAAGTCATACTACATATGCAATATGGCTAATTGATTTCCATTTATTTATATCCAGAGGTGAGCTTAGATAAACTATTGACTGAGAACTTACTTTACCAGCCCTTTCCTAGGGATATGAATGATGCAAGGGAAAACAAATTAGTGTCATCTGTACTCAAAAGTTTAAGAATCTTTTGAGGATTTAAGATTTACCTGTGTTGTTAAAATAGCAAATAATGTAAGTCAATTTACGCATGTGTCCAAATGTATCTTTAAGATACTGAGTCAATGATTCTCAAATTTTAATATGCACAAGTATTATGTAGTGAACCAACTAAGCATGAAGAATCATATGCTACATTTTGATCCAATAAGGCAGGAAATCTGCATTTTTATTAAGCATCCCAGATTACTTGGCTCTGCTTGGCCCAAGGAGCACTCTAGGTGTGGTGGTGAAAAGTCAGGGATCGGGAATTTGTTCAAGGACTGGAATTCTCAGAATGGATTTATAGAGAGCAGCAGATTTGCAATGAGTCTATGAGGTCAAACTTCAAGGATGAGTGAGATTTAAAGTTAGAGCAAGGAAGTGTATTATTCGAGAAGGAAAAGGCCTGAAGAAAAGCACAATTTATGAGTTAATGTGGCAAAAAAAAAAAAAAAGAAGAAAAGAAACAAATAGAAAACAGACCTGAGATGGCTCTACCAATCCAGTTTCTGTTCTCCTCATGTTGATTATCCACACAATCAAGCATCTTGGACTATCCAATTGCTTTAACACATGCAAGGACTCTTGTATCCCAATGAGCTTCAACCTGGGTCTAATATATTTGAATACTAGTTTTACCATTAATTGATGACCATTGTTAAAAGTCAGTGACAAATCCTGCACCCACATCCAGAAGCTTACCAAATTATGTGCATACAGCAGAAGTCTAGATTTGATGATTAGTCTCTAGTGTCAAATGGATATTTATAATGGTATACACATTGCCTTAAGAGCCAGTAGGAACTGGATTCAAATTATTGTTATAAAACTTAGGGATTTACTTAGGGATGGTTATAAAACCTGGGATATTTTACTTGGCCTCTTTGAATTTTAGTTTCTAATCTACAAAATATAAATAAAAGTAATACAGTCATCCTTCAGCATCTGGCGGGACTTGGTTCCAGAAGTTTCTATCATTAGTGAAATCTCCAGATGCTCAAGCCCCTTATATGAAAGTATTTCGAAATGCCATGTAAAAAAAATAAAATTAAGTTTATTTCGATGCAAGAAAAAATTTGAAATCCACATAGTTTTTTATAATAGACACTTTCCATGAACTTTTTGAAAACCCTATTCAATTAAATAAAACCTTACACAAAAGTATTAAGAGAGATTTATGTGTTTTCTATGCAAAGAAGAGGTAAAATTTGACAGTTGTGGCTAATTATCTTAGAAATGGATATGGTTAATAATGTGAAGTGATTCAAAGGGTACCTCAAGATTTGTTTTGAAGGTGCCCCCAAAGTCTCTTTTTTTATTATTATTATTTGACAGACAGAGTTAGACAGTGAGGGAGAGACAGAGATTCTTCCTTCCGTTGGTTCACCCCCCAAATGGCCGCTACAGCCAGCAGGCTGCGCCGATCTGAAGCCAGGAGCTAGGTGCTTCCTCCTGGTCTCCCACGTGGGTGCAGGTACTCAAGCACTTAGGCCATCCTCCACTGCCCTCCCAGGCCACAGCAGAGAGCTGGACTGGAAGAGGAACAACCAGGACTAGAACCTGGAGCCCATATGGGATGCCGGCAGGCGGAGGATTAACCAAGTGAGCCACAGCACCGACCCCCCCAAAGTCTCTTAGAGTTCATTCCCTGAGGACCTGCAGAGGCATTCAGCTTATACCAGTCACCTGCAATTAGTGTGAATTATTTTATCAGATCTTCCCTTACTGTGACAGTGGAGAGAAAATCTCTGAGGAGCAGGAGATTGGCTACAGGTAAAGAGAAAACTCAGGGCACCCACGGAAACTGAAGTGGCAGGAGCCTCAGGCCATAAGAAGAGGGTTCTGTGAACCTTCATCTGGTGAGAAACAGGCACCCTGGGAGAGCAAGCATTGCCCAGGATAGAGGCACTGACAAATGTCAAGTGCTTCCTTTCACCTCTGTCGGGCTTAAGTGCCACTGCTTCTATCCATTTAGGCCCTCATTTCTATTAAATGTCACACAAATGCCTTTTTACTTTTTGGTTTTATCTCAGAAAGTAAAATCTTCCAAGATAAGAAAGTGAGGTTCGGATGGTCTCACCAGGTGGCCTAAGGAAATCTGAGAACAGAAATGACTTCTTCAAAAAGTAGTTTAAAAAGAAAAAAAAATGCTATGACTGTACAGTGTGCTAATGGAAAAGAAATAAGTATGGCAACCAGCATGAGTAACTCAGTTCCTTTAATGTTTTCTTTTAGCCCTGTTTATTAGTACTATCTATTATCACTCACTATTCCTCTTATTATTTATAATTACCCTTACTTTCATCTAAGAAATTCAAAACACAATGTGACTTTCTGGTTTGGAAACTTGTTTCTTATATATTATTCTGATTCTTCTGACTCATTATATATAATATATATTTACAAAAATATGTTTTAGAAGAAAAATGCTTTCCCAGTTATATTTTTTAAAGACTTATTTATTTATTTGAAAGTTAGAGTTACACAGAGGGATGAGAGGCAGAGAGAGAGAGAGAAAGAGAGAGAGAGAGAGATGTCTTCCATCCAATGGTTCACTTCTCAATTGGCCGCAACAGTTGGAGCTGCGCTGATCTGAAGCCAGGAGCCAGGAGCCTCTTCTGGGTCTCCCACGCGGGTGCAGAGGCCCCAGGACTTAGGCCATCCTCCACTGCTTTCCCAGACCACAGCAGAGAACTGGATAGGAAGTAGAGCAGCCAGGTCTTGAACCGGCGCCCATATGGGATGCTGGTGCTTCAGGCCATGGCGTTAACCTGCTGTGCCACAGTGCCAGTCCCCCCATTTACATTAATACAAGTGAGTGTTGCTGAAAGAATCGTTTTTCTCGACAGGAAAAGAAAGTACAATTGCATCTATATAGAATTAGAAGTAAAATCTAAATGCTAACCATAGATTACATAAGAGTAAACATTATGATAAACTGACTATAAATAACAGGATGGTTCAGAATTGATTTTGTTTATACATAGCACTGAATGCAGAATAGTCGCTTAGGTGAGGTTTATTGGATGATTCACTACCAAGTAAACAAGAAACAAACCAGTTCCTAACCCTGAGAAGTTTCAAAACACATCCTCCCTCCACATCACAACTAGAGCAGTCTCCAGATGTGTTCCCATATGTGCACACGCACACACACACACACACACACACGCACCAGTTGAAAGGCCCTAATGACTCATCTCTGTGCAGACTCCCTTATGATTCCATAATCAATATCAGCACAACAGTATCGAGCCAAGCTAGCAAAGGTCTTAAAGGGAAGGGCTTATGTAAGACTATATTGTTACTTTGGGTTTCCTTTCAGAAGAGGCAATACAATCCTGGAAAAGCATATAACTTTGCTTTCAAATAACTGAGAAAGTTTATCATAAATTTTGCAAAACTCTACCTCCATCTATTATCTGAGAAGCTCCAGAAAAATCCATCAGTGCCCCCCAAAAAAGCCCCTCACACTGTCATACACTGAAATCCTCAGTGTTGGAGCTTCTGTTTCTATTTATACACTGAAAATAACCTTCCTTAGAGAGTATGCTAGAGGCAATCTGTGGAGACTCACTGGCCTCTCCTGCACGTGCGGTCAGTGCTCCAGGTAGGGAGCCTGGAATTCAGAGTATTAAGGAATGGAGGAGCGCCTGGTGGGCAAGCTCTGCCATCGTCCTGGTTTTGCCTTCTCCTGGATTTCTGCTGTCTGTAATCCAGTTAACATGAGCTAAGCAAGTCAAGAAAGAGCAGTTTTACTTTTCAAAGACCATATGAGCAAATGGTCTTTGATTTTCCACAAACACTCTTGAGCTTATCTCTTCATTTTCATTGTGATAGTAAAGCAATAAAAAATGAGATTTAATTTTAACCAATGTTGGTCAGTCTGGGAAAGTGAGTGGAGATGATGGGCTGGAAAAATATTAATCCGGGCTGGTTATTTAACATCAGCCTTATTTTGAGAAGGACAGGAGCAAAGGCACTTGCTCAGGACAATGAAACTCCTCAGTTATATTTTGCTGTATCGCCGGCTCCTTCTCGTAGTCTTAACTGTGTTGGGTTTACTGCCACTTCCTCTCATTCTGCGCCAAAAGGTAAGTGAATAAGGAGCATGGGCTAGTGGAGTTTCTGATTTATTTTGAATGTATTGCTGTTCAGTAGTCTGGCTCATAGCTGGCTGAGTGGTGATACTTGGTGCCTGAAAACATGACAGTTGTGTGTTGTGGTTTTCCCTTTTTCTCATTTTAATTGTTAACATTTGTTGAGTCTCAGTATGATTAACTTGGTTAATTGAATAGAATGTTCAATCAGAATTGCTCTATGGCCTCTCAGTTAGATGACAGGAAGAAAAAGTTTACCTCTTGCAAGTTACTAACTTGCAGAGAGAGTCTTAGGTTATTCCAACCCCCTACCCTTAACCTCTCTGTGTTTCTGTTTTCTGTTGTGTAAGATGCGGTTACTAAGATGCTTGCTGTGAGGATTCAGTGAATAAACACTCATTAGGGACTTATTTGGAGCAGTGCTTTGGCACACAGAAAATGGGGAAACAAGGGTTTCTACAGGTATGTTGTGTTAGAGTTACAGAGAGAGAGGGAGTTACAGAGAGAGCGCGCGAGATCTTCCATCCTCTGGTTCACTCCTCAAATGGCTGCAACAGCTGGGGCTGTTCCAGGCCTCCCACGTGGGTACAGGGGCCCAAGGACTTGGGCCATTTTCTGGAGAAAAAAGCCAAAATCTGGAGACACAAATGTTTTCAGTGAACATCCATTTGTCATTAGAGTCAATGATCTGAATCACAACTGCAAATCTGTCTTTATAGCCTCCATGGTGGTAAAAGTATACTACTGATACACTGACCGAGATCTCACTTTGATGATGAAATTCTATGTTTCTTTTTAATTCATACTGAAATACCAGAAATTCTTTTAAACCATCCCTTCAACATAAAAGACTCTTAATCCTTCCACATTAAGGAATTCGTGATCAGGAAACATGCCTGGGATGTAATTTCTATGTATTTGAAACAAACAATCACATTGGATTTTTTCCACTTTGAAGAGGAAAACTATTAAATATTCCTATATAAAACTTCCTAAAACTGGCTCGTTATACACCATGGCTCCAGTTATATCATCTGTGTAACCGTTGTTTTAGCACTATTTCCAGCATTTTGTTAATTTTTACTCTTTTTAGTACTCTAATATTCCTTTATTTTACCAGTTCCTGGCTTTTCTTTGTATTTGTATTTACGGGAAAAAACGATGAAAATAAGGACAGGTTTGTTTGAGGAGTCATAAGAGAAAAAAAACTTGAACAACAATAGACAGTCATTCCTCAATTTCCATGGGGAATTTGGTCCAAGACCTCTGCAAATACCAAAATCCATGGGTGCTCAAGTTCCTTATATGAAATGCCATGTAACACATGCACACATCTTCCTGTATACTTTAAATCATCTCCAGATTACTAATGCCTAATACTGTGTAAACATTTGTAAATACTTACTGTACTGTATTGTTTAGGAAAGACTGACAACAAAACAGTCTGTACATATGTAGAACAGATACAATTGTTTTCCTGAATATTTTCAGTCTGTAGTTGGTCGAATCAGAGGTATACAGAACACCTGGAAATTGATGGCTAATGCAGTATGTCTTTGTAGAGGGTGCCTCCAGGAATGCCTCATTCTATCTGGTTTATCCATTAATTAGGACTTTCTTCATGATAAGGGGACAAGGAAACCACCACATGAGTCTTGAGCAGCATTCTCCAGTTGATGTTTTATAAAACCAAAACAAGATTCCAAAAATTCTCTCAGATATTTCTAGATTTATCTAGAAAATATTTAATACCAAGAAAGAGTGGAAGTGTTGAAACAGAGAGCATGGGGGTGGAAAGGTTTCCATGGTGTAGCGGTCATCACGCTCGCCTCACAGAGAGCATGGGGGTACAGCTTACAGGGTTGCCTGTATTTCTGCAACTGTCCTATGCTTACCATGTCTTCTTCACAATATATTCACTTGAAACATCATGACCTTCAAAGTTAGAATAAGAATCATAATTAAATAAATCATACATAATGAGAGATTTATGATATTAAATCTAAAAAATGCAAACATGGTAGAAATATAATGATTATAAGGTAAAATGAACTTAAAGGGATAAAGGATCTACTAAAAAAGGGGGAGGTGGTAGGTTGAGAAATCTGTCAAAGAAAATGTAGATGAATAGCAAGGAATTAAAAACTAATACCAGGGAGAGAAGACAGATGGGAGAAATTCAAGGAAAACATAAAGAATTTTTAAAGAGCAAAATCAAATAATGAAATATATTTATAGAAACTATTGATATTGTGATAATTATTGATTTTCATATGGATTTAAAATAAAAGAAAAAAATGTTATAAGTTCCAAGCATGCCAACATTTTAGACATGAAAGGTATTTAGATGATGGAGGGCAATAAAAACAACAACAAAAAAAACCCTCAGAAATCATGCTAATAGTTATGTGTTAGATGCACAAAACCAGAGAATTAAAATTGTAGCCATTTTTACTTTCCAAATATTTTATGAGAACTTTCAGAGCCCAAAGTGTTGTTACTGGGGAAGTGTCGGATTTGTGCAGAAGTTTAAATTACTGTTTCTGCTTTCCCATAGCTTTCAGAATTGCAGAAAGTATTAATCACACAAGAAGCTGGTATATAAATGCATGCAACATGATTGAAACATACAATTTATGCTATGTGCATGTATTTAAAAGTGGATAAATGCTAAGAATTCATCATCCTCCAGCCTTTGCTTTCTGTCAACCACACTCAGTCTCTCTTGCCAATGACTTTTTGCTCCTATTTTCTGCATCTAATAGAATATTGCTCCCCTTGACCCATTTGAAGTCCTGAAACCTGTGTGTCATCTCGGATGCTTCAGATACCCGTGAGCACCCACAACTCAGAATATGTTGTCTTCTCAACCCATACCCTCTTCAATCTCCTTCACCCCATCCACTCCCCCCTCTCCATTCCTACTAACATTGCTTATCTCTCTGGGCTGTTTTCATATTTTTTCCCGGAGTCTCCTGCTGGAGCATCATTTTTAAAAGACCAACCTGGTCCTGCTAAGCCCAAATCAAACTTATTTGATGGCTCCCTTTTGCCTACAGAGCGACACATTTCTAAAATAATCTGTATAGGTTAATACATATTTAATGTATTGCTATTTATTTGTCCTAACAACAATCCCAAAACACCGGTATCTACAAAGTTATTTCCAGAAGTTCACGTAGGGGGCAAGTATTTAGCCTAGTGGTAAGACAACTGCATCCCACTGTCCCACTTTGGAGTACCTGGGTTTGACATCCAGCTGCAGCTCCTGAAAACAAGTTCCTGTCAATGCAGAAACTGCAGACAGTAGGGGCCCTTGGTAATAGCTCAAGTAATTGGAGCCAGGTTGGGGACTTGGATTGGGCTCCCACCTCTCAGTGCCTGAAATAAAGTCTTGATTCCACTTCCAACCCAGTTTCCTGCTAATACACAGGCTGATAGGCAACAAATGATGGCTCAAGTATTTATGTTCCTGCCACCCACATAGGACACCCAGCCAGAGCTCCCAGCTCCTGGCTTCATCATGGTCCATCCCTGGCTGTTCCTGGCATTTGGCAGTGAACAAACAGATAGATCTCTGTCTCTCTGTCTATGTTGTTATGCTTTTCAAATAAATAAAATTTTAAAATAAGGTAAGTTTATTTTGGTGCAAAAACTTTTGAAATCCATGCCAGGACTTTCTAATGTAGACATTTTTTCATAAATTTTTGAAGATCCCGCCTATAGCTGGATTTCAAAAAACAATTGCACCAAAGTAAACTTGACTTTTATGCCTGCTTTCAATGAACTTTTTGAAGTACTCTTGTATAAGCCTGTCTAAAACCAAAGTCCATAAATAACATTGATTCTTTAATGGTTCTCAGTTTGCCTTACCCCATTGTTCCTGCACTTGCAACTATAAAGCACACACTGAGATGAGGCCCCTCCCATCCTGGATTGCAGAATAATCTTAACCTATGATGGACAAAGAATGTAAGAAAGAAACAAACTTCAGGTTTTGGGCTTCTATTGCACAGTAGGGTGACCATAATGTTAATGCATTGCATATATATCTCTTATTTTTTTGTATAAGATTTATTTTATTTATTTGAAGGAAAGACACAGAGAGGGAGAAACACAGAAAGAGATCTTCCATCCTCGATTTCACTCCCCAAATGGCTGCAACAGCCCAGGTCAGGCCAGGCCAAAACCAGAAACTTGGATCTCTCACAAGGACATCGGGAGTACGAGTACTCGGGTCATCTTCTGCTGCTTTCCTAAATGCGTAAGCAGGGAACCAGATTGGAAGTGGAGTAGCCAGGCCTTGAACCAGTGCTCCAATATGGGATGCAAAGTTATCCACAGTACCACAACATTGGCCCCCTCTCTTAAAAACAAGCGGAAGATAGGATCTTGGATGTTTTCACCATCAAGAAATCTTAAATATCTGAATATGTGTGTGTGTGTGTGTGTATTTAGCATGATTAGACATTATGCAACCAATCCATGAATTGAAACAGTAACATTGTACCCATAAATATGAGCAATTTTTATCTGTTTTTTTTTTTAAATTTTTGTATTACTTTTTTAAAGAAAACTCTTAACTTTGGTCATTTAAGCTTCTGAGATTGGGAGCTTTTGCTGTAGCATACCTTAGCCTGTCCTGACTTAACCATGTTCTGTTTGCCTTACCCCACTGTTCTGAAAAATGCCCTAAGGGGATATACTGTCCCTTGGCTCATTTCCTCCTCTAGAAAATGAGCAACACCCTCTTTAAGAAGTTTCACATGTTGTTTAGAGGTGAGTCAGCTTTCCCAGATTTACCTTAAAAAAATACAAAAAAGATTTATTTATTTATTTCCAAGTCAGAGTTACAGAGAGGGAGAGACAGAGAGAGATCTTCCATCCTCTGCTTCACTTACCAGATGGCTATAATTACCAAGGCTTGGCCAGGCTGGAGCCAGGAGATTCTTACAGGTCTCCCACGGTGGTGGCAGGGGCCCAACCAATTGTGC